GTCTGCCCAGCGCCCGGCTCCGCTGCCCTCGGCTGTCCCCCCACGAACACCGGCTCCCGGGCCAGCTCATCGTATCAGCCCTGCCTGTGGACCCATGTGACCCCCGCAGCATGGGGCGTGGGGGACCACGGAGCCTCCCGGAAGCTACAGAGCCGCCATGCCCTGGGCAGCCGCCCCTTCACGCTCGGGGCCGCCATTCCGTGGTCCCTTGACCTCTCCGGGCCTTGGTTTCCTGCCGTGCAGGGGTGTGACGTGGGGCTGTGGGGGCGTGGGGGGGGCCTCTCTGCCGTTACTGTCCCGAAGCTACAATGTGTGGAAGCCATGCTGAAGCCGGAGAGGGGAGGAGAGGGCGGTGAGCCACGCTCTCAGTGCGGAGGGAAGTGTCCAGAAGTTTGGGGGGGAGGGGGGGGAGAGGGCGGGGTCTGCGGCGGCTGCTGGGGGTGTGGCGGGTCTGGTGCTGCCCCACCCAAAGCCAGGGCTGTCCAGGAGGCTGTCCAGGGCTGCCGTGGACAGGCAGGCTCTGTGCAGCCCTTCAAGGGCTGAATAAACACAGTAATTTACCGAGAAAAGGTCTTTCGGGGCCACCTCTGGCTCCGAGTCTCAGGACTCCTGGGACAAAGCCAGTATCCATCTTCTGGTGTGACATGTTCCTGTCAACAGTCACCCTGAGAAAAACAGAACCCCACGGGGGGCAGCGTGGCAGCCCTTCCTCCCCGCAGCCCGCGGTCCGGGCCAGGGAGGGAGGGAGCAGAGTGGGGGGGAGGTGGGGGTTGCAGGGCAGGGGCCTGTGAGCAGGGGTGGCAGGGTGGAGGAAGGGGAGCAGGCTCTGGCGGGAGGGAGGGCAGGCCCTTTCCTCCCCCGGGTGTCCTACGGCTCTCTTGGGTTTCAAGGCTCAGAGCCTGAGGGTGCCGGGCACCCCTGGAGATGCCCCCCGAGGCTGTGTGCGCTCCGGAGCTGGGGCGGCCCCGGGCTGGAAGGCCAGCAGCGCCCCGTCCACCCCGGAGTCCAGCGCGCAGGCTCGGGAGGACGGCCTCCCGGGGTCCTGCCGGGCCCGCGTGGTTCCCGGCGAGCTGCGTGAGCCTGCCGTCCGCTGGGCAGTGTCTACACGTAGAACGTGGGTGAGGAACGTGGCAGCCTGCCAGGGCTGGAGAGAGACCAAACATCCCACGAGGAAGCGCGTGAAGGGAGGCCAGGGAGGACCACGGCAGCGCAGGTCCACAGGACATCCCCTGTGGTGGGCGGGACTTCCTGTGGGCGGGACGTCCCACTTTGTTTTGCTTTCTGTTTTATTTATTTTTTAACATCTTCTATATTTGGGAAGAGGCTAATTTAAAAATCTGATTGTGTGTGGATTGCGAGAGATTGCAGAGGTAAAGATATTTACTATGGAGAACTTTGGGACAGCTGAGCTGTCCTACAAGGCTGTGGGGCCAGAGGTGTGGATGATTGGATGGCAAACCTAGGCAGCCCGAAAATACTCATGGGCTCTCTCCGGCTGGGAAGATCATGGGCTCTCTCCGGCTGGGAAGATCATGGGCTCTCTCCGGCTGGGAAGATCATGGGCTCTCTCCGGCTGGGAAGATCATGGGCT